TCCTTCTATTTCTGCTACATCTTCCTCCTTAATTTCCACATGTTTCAAAATGTCTCTGGTCTCAAGCTTCATCTCCTTTATTCCTCCATCGAAGTCATCCTTCCTAAAATATGGCATGACACAGGTAAGATAAAATCTTGATGGTGGTAAATTTGAATAGGGTAAAGACACATGAAGACGCTTGTCTTCCAAGTTGAATGAGTAGAAACAGAATTTTTGCATGAAAAAATAGACATTGCTTCCTTCAATTTGAGACCCAACAGCCGCACAAGAAAAACGAGATCTGTCACTGAAAAATAATGCTGCGTCCTTGGCACTGTCTAATATTTCCCATTCCATTCTTGAGAAATCCAGTCTATAAACCTCCACGGCATTTGGTTCAAGATGAACTTCAGTAGGTATCCAGCGTAGTCCCATATAAATCATAACGAGTTGGCCACTGTATTCTGTCATCCTTGAACAACGATCCAAGTTGTAACCTTCAAAGTACTGGGGCAATTTCACAGGTAACAAATTTATGATGAATTGATATTGCATTATCAACCCAATCTCCACTATTTTGTCGCTGTTATGGGTACGACAGTATAATTTTCCTTTGCACCTAACAGGACTTATCAGATAATCCTCATCATCATCCTTATAATCTACCTCTCCCTTGGCTGGCTCCTCAGTCCATTGATTATCCCCAATTCTACAAAAGATGAAAGAAGTAGCATTCTTTTCGAAAAGTATAAGCATGCTATTAGGATTAGCTGGGGAAGATGACAGTATGGAGAAGCCGATTGCTTGTTCAGGCTTCAAATTGAGAGCAGGGAACTGCACGGACTGCGAGGTGATAGGATTGAAGATGGAGTACTCATCATCGTAACAATCGAAAAGAAGTAACCAACCGTCACAGTAATCCATGATTTCCTTGGAGACCAATTCAGGTATGTTCTTAATAACGTCTCCCTGGCCTCCAATTAAGAAGGGCTGCTTTTCATCCTCACCTTCGTCGGACTCGGACTGGTCTTGATCATCATCTTCATCGTGGGGTTCGTCGTTAGCCGGGTTCCGATCATCATCTTCATCGCGGTGTTCTTCGTTAGCCTGGTTCTGATCGGCATCTTCAACC